GCAACATTTTAGCACATTCTTTCCGACATTAAATGAGAGTGATTTATTGCATAAGATATTTTTTTCATTTTCTGAAATGCAGCTTTCGCTTGACCTATTCTGCTTTTAATCTCAGTCACAAATTTTCCATCTTATGATATGATTGTTCCCAGATATTAAAATTTATTGACTTGGTTAAATCTTTTTTCGTTCAACTAAAACATCACAACGTGGAATTATCTTCTTCTTTGATATAACCATTACTTTCGTTTTCTTAATTTTCAATGAAAGTCCTTTCTTAGCACACTCCATCCCCACAATCTCCAGCAGCTTAGTGTGCTTCTGTTCGTCGGACACCTGCTTTGGAACACAATAACCTCACACTTTACCCAGTCGCCATGAACAATTTTGTATGTAGAACAGTGACTCATGTGAACGTCCATAACGATGCCATCAATAGTGACTCGTCCATTATCTCAGATTCGCTGCTCTGACTGTTCTTTGACAGTCCCTGCTGTTACGCTTTTCATTACTGATGTTCTCCCTTCCGTTATTAAATCTTTCCACCCATCCATACATTTTCCTATTTTTTTACGTGCGCAACAGTACACACGGGCGTCCTATCTTACTACCCTGAGACCAGAGAAATTACTAGAAGGCCACGTGAAAAAATCCCAGCCTTCACCGGGGCCTGAATCCGGGACCTCCAGCCCACGAGGCGGATGCCATGTCTCGAGACCACACAGCTCCCTATTGAACCTTTATTCGTCAATAGATTACAGACGATTTAACACCCTCTGCCCACAGGAAAAGAAACGAATAAACGCCACATCTATAAAACAGATGTGCACGAAAAATTGAAGTTCTTGAACAAGTCCAAAGTGCAAAAAGGGAACAAAAAACCAAAACTCTCCTCTAGATTACACAGTTGGTGAAAGCTAAGCATAATAAGAAAAATTACTGTTCTATCGAAACCGTTATACGGTTTAAAATGGCGAAGTCCCCCAGTCTTGCCCCATCCAGTCTTATGTTATACAAATATGCGAAAGTCGAAATATGATTCTGACAATGCTTCTATATTTCTGGCATCCTTTCTGCAGTTCATCGTCAACCTACCTGGGTATGGAAACCGAAACCAGCTAGACTGTCGTAGAACGTTGATTTTTGTGTCAGTCCTGGCAGCATACCCCCACTCTGTAGAGTTGCTGGGTAGTGCATTCGTCTCTGTCAATACAACACAGATTACCCAGGACAAAATGACTGCCAGCAACACCTGCAATAGAGGATACATGCAGTGGAGTTGGGTTGAGTTGATTCATGAACTGACATCACAGCACTCCAATAGCCAGTAGCATTCTGATAGTACGTCCGCCTTGCCGATTCTCTGAGCATCGAGTATCCGTCAGATCCCCTCGTCACATCCCGCTGCATCACTCTCACCATACTGTGGTGATCCATTTGCTCCTCCGAATTGTGCACGTTCTTACACATGGGCCCTAACCACGTCTGCCTTACCATGCATCATTATTTCACCAAGTTGTACAGAGCCACCAACCAATCTGCTCGACAATTGATTTCCCAACACACCTGCATACCCTTAAGAAAAGATCCAGACACGAAGCATGCATGTGTTCACCTTGCTCAGCATGTTTTCTGAGTCAGTTACAGACACGATATGTCTGTGTGTATATGTGTGCGCGCACGCGCGCGTGTGTGTGTCGTATTCTCTAACCAGCGGAAAGCTTCAGTGACCAGCCTCCACCTCAATTCTAAAGCTGGATGTTGTGGTATCATATGCTAGGCTCGCCTGCACCAAACATTCACCATTATTTTTTGCTTAAAAATAACCAAGCTCTTCGTTTGCTTCTTAAAACTCAACCTTCTCTATAAATAATCACATCCTCTAAGCGAGCATTATCTTGAACTAATTACTGACACGTAACCTCTATGGCACCGGTTGGCAACTCTCTGCACTCCTGGCCTAATGTGATTATGACTCATTCCTCTCCTCGCTTAGTGTTCTCCAAACTGCAGACATGTCTGATTATTTCTCCTGGGTGGGCTATCAATGACTTCCCTCTAATCTGTCGCTGACCCTTAACTACGTCCGGAAATTCGTACAAATGATGATTTGTGTCTGCATCTACTCTGAGTTATGACTTCGCCTGCAGTACCTTGAGCCTACCTGCAACAGCCACGAAACCCAGAAGTGTAGCATACACACCACTGGTGTGTCTCTGGTACAACGCAGAATAGCCTGCATAGCTGCCTTCTGAATGCGTTCTCGTTTGACCATCGGACTCTTTTGAGACAGAAAGCAGTCCTAATCCTAATCAATCACTGAAAGGATCAGGTGCTAGTAAAGTGTGACACGCATTTTCTGCTCCATGACCGTTGCAGTCATAGTATTGAGTGCATTGAGTCCTTTTTGGCATCTTGTCACAACCATTTCCACATGGTTCTTGAAGGACAGGCTCCTGTTAAATGTGAATCCCGAATACTTCAGTGTGCTCTCTCTCTG